TTTTGAATTTTTTGGTCGATCACAATGGTGGATTATTGAAAATAATAAACCAAAATTGTTGAAATAGGTGACTCACTAACAGTTACCTCGTCTAGTTAGTTCTCAGCTCAGGAGCCTTCATGTGGTATAGCTTCTTTTTATTAAATATAGTTTTTTCTTAAGTTTATGCGAATCTTTTCCATATTTTTTTACGTGGATCACGATTTTTGAAGAAAAATATTAATCCTTAAAGGGGTTCTTTAAAATATTTTATTATGAAGAAAGTGATAATTATCAAACTTTTCATACGTGGTCAACTAATAAAAACAACAGGGTTAATTAATTAGTGAAAAAATTTACTTCAGCCGGTATTCAGTTATTTTACTTCACAGATAGTTTAATTGCATTACGTCATATAAAACATTCATAATCAAGAGATGATCTACGGTGTTATTTCTGGAGATATTAATTGCGCAAGTCTATTAGCACAGACCAGCTATATTTCATCTCATTGAATTGTTCCAAAAATAACAGGGATCAATATCATGTGGGTGAAAACTGCTTATTGCGATGTAAGCTCTTTTTTTTTTAACTTTTTTTTAACCAACGATTTTATTGTTTCTGACAAAAAATTAATACTCTACAAATAAAATGTATTGTAGGTATTCTTTTATTCATTCGCTACAAAAATAATATCTATAATTCACGTAAATTCATATTTCTACGCATGAAGTACCTGTATTAGATACCTTACGCTAAACATTTTATTATTATTTTTTTTTTTTCTAACCCCGCAAAATGTTTATTTAATCAAATTACATATATAGTATTAAATTAGATAACAATACAATATATACAAGTAACAAATTCCTTCCAGAGCCCGAGGAAACATTTTAAACTTTGAATATCTAATTTATTTTAATAATTAATTGGTTTTTATAAAAAGAATTCTAAATATTAATAAAAAGATTAAATAAACGCAATCTTATAAAAAGTTTATAAATACATTATAAATCATAAGTTAAGATTATAAAATATACTAAACAAGTAACATTTTTTTTATCATTTCAAAAAAGTAAATAATATTATTATATTCCATTAAATTAATTATATAGGACTTAATATCCTGGGTGTTTCAGTTCTTAACGGCCAAACTCAGGGGAGTGATTCGAGGCAAAATGAGTTAAGACCAATTTTGTGTTTCTTAAGGTGGTCACGTTTTTTATTGAATGAGAAGCAATTGCTCACAAACTATTCAAAATTATTAAATTCTAAGTACTCCATCGTGAAGTAGTCAAAATCTTCTTGTAGAAAACAGTGATTAAATTTACTGAGGCCAATCATAAAAAGGACTTTCAGGAGGTCTAATAACGCAAAGCCTACCATTATGCCGAATCGGGAGTACAGAGATATGTTGCCTCCTGAAAGTCCCTTTTATTATTGATTTTAATAGGTTTAATCACTGTTTTTTTTTAATGTCCACTTTCTATGGCTTACATAGAATTTAATTATCTTGAACAGTTTTTAAGCAATTCCTTCTTATTCAATAAAAACCGTGACAACCTTAAATTAAATCCCACAAAATTGGTGTTTACTCCTTTGTATCAAATGAACTTTTTTGTTGAGAATTTTGTCTGGAATCACCCTCCAGAGGTTGTAGTGTGGCCCAAATGCGAGACCGAGACTAGTCTTGGTCTTGCAAATTCAGTCTTGGTCTTGCCCAAGAGTCTCGCAACAGTCTTGCAATTACTTATTAACTTATTACTATAGATATATTACAGTAATTTTTTAGATAGGAGAAACCTAACTAAGCCCGAATGAAAAATTAGAGGAGTTAAATGCAAAAGTATACTTGTTATACCAATTATTAACATATAGTAACTATGATTGTCGAGTATTAGTAAATATTTTTCCTTGTTTTTATTTAAAAAATCGATTTTTTTTAGCAGTTCTGGTCTTGGTCTTGCAACAGTTAGGCGGCCTTGGTCTTGGTCTTGCAAAGTGCAAGTGGGCAACACTAAGAGGTTGGCCTTTAAGAACTGAGACGACCTGTATATACATACTTTTATATTTCATATAATTATGTATGTATATACCTAATGTATCTATAAATAAATAAAGATTTTACATTCGATTTATTTTTATATTCATACAAATACGCCGAGGTATACGTAAGTTTTTTAAACCGCCAAGTATAATTTCGCTTTACGGGCGATACTCTTCCTTCCAAGAATTGCTTCATAAAAACCACCGTAAAACTCCATACCCTACTTACACATACGAAGGGAGCCTCGTTTCGTGGAGGACATTAAACCATAGAGTCATATTGAAGAACATAACATATTCATATGACCGTAATAAACCGGAAGATATTCTGAAATTTCTCAGGTTTCGGAGAACTCATCCCTATATGGCTACCTCTAGGTTGAATTCGACACCGTTTGGGGGATCCTGCGATAAAGAGTTTACTACTTAAATAAAATATTGGTATATTTCAATGCATTGACCTAGTCGCCTTTAAATATCCAATGTTATTTTAATCAAAAACCAGATATAATTTCCCTATTACTAGTGATTTTTAAAATAAAATAGAATAGAAAAATAGGAAAGACATATCACAGTAGATAACAACAGGGTATATTACTCAAATATTATCAGTTGGAAGTTAATATTTTTTTATTTAGGAGTTTCTTCGATATGAAGTTTTCATTCAACCAAACTCTATAACTAATATTTAATGTTTTTAATATAATATAATATATATATTTATAATTAATATTTAATGTGTTTTAATGATTCCATTCGAACTAGTCTAGAATCTCCTAATCACATCATATAACCTACCTGTTAATTTAGTGCACCTGTACAAGCAGAGATTGTTGTGTATATAGGTCAGTTCACCATATTGAAACAAAATGGCGCCGGGTTATTAGACACCAGAAAGGCACTTCTTCTACACCAACTACAGTATTTCAACTTTATTAGGATATTGGAAATTTTCAACGAAATTAAAAACAAGGTGGACACGTTGAAAAACCGTTCTTACTTATCGATATAACCGATAATTGCTTAATTGATATATCGGTGTTGTACTAATTGTCTGTAAAATATTTTAACATACATAATACTACAATTTATTTTTAAAGTTCACTTGACAACTAGTTGACATCAGGTATCTATATTTAGGAATTTACAAGTGATTTTGTGATGTATTTCCATCAGTTAATTATTACATGACTAGCCTTACATCAAAGGTAGATTGATATCTATCAAAAAAATCGATGTTGATATAAAATATAAATTTTTTATAAAATATCATGTTGACCTTAGTAAGAAAACATAAATTTACACCATTTTTATGTTTACATTTTATAAAAAAGTTTTCTTTTAAAAGTCATTTTAATTTTATTTAACAATACATGTAATGTAAGTATTGTATTAATAATATAAGAGCATGAAATTTTTGTAAGGTTTTGAACAGAAATAAGCATTTTGAGATCCGCTGAGTCCAAATAACCAAGCCCCACAATATGGTCTTTGTGTGTGTATGTGAACAATTTAGCTCAAAAACGATATATTGTACGAAACTGAAATTATGCGGTTAAGATATGTATATGCCTGGGAAGTTATAGAATTTTTTCCTGATATCGGCTAACCGGAATTGCCAATTTATATCATCGATTTTACACATTTTTTAAATTTTCTCAAAAAAAAATAGCGGCTCTATTTTAATTAAGTTCATTATTTCAGTGTAATATTAAGCAGCTTTTAATGTAATTATTAATGCAATTAATTTCTTATTCTCATTGATCTAGGCAGTTCTTAAATACCTAATTTTGAAAATTTCTTTCTCCAAAGTACCTTTGATTTGATTTATTTTAAATAATAAGTTTCCATATATGTGTGGGTTTTATAAATGCTAACGTTGACATTATTTAATATTTGATTATATAGATTACAGTAATAAAACATAAAATGTGTATATATACCAATGAAAACGAATAAAAATACCTACGATGAAATATAGATAAATAAAGCGGCCTTCTTAATCAGTGGTGTTCTTGTCGGACAAAAATATTTCATGGCACTTAATTATTTATTATAATGAAATAAATAATTAAAATATACAATCGTAAAAAGATTTGGTTTGTGACAAGAAACATAAATATAATATACGAATGTGTGAAATACGAAAAACAAATGACAATAAATTGTTTTAAATTATATTTTGTACAGTCCGTAATTTTTACTTTCACTACCCTTTGGTCTGAAATTACCTATTTCTGCTTCTTAAAAAAAAGGGTAGTAAATGAAAGTTGTGTGATGCATGCACCGCATGAGGTTTTTTAGTTTACTACCTATACTAGGTAACGATCGGGTCAAATTTCCGATATACGGTTTTCTATCGATCTATACGTTTCAGAGCCCCTTGAGTCCGAACGCATTTTTAATGAAATTCCCTACAAAACTATATAAAAATCGTTCATTTCTGACAATATTAACGAAGTAACAGCAATTCAATTATTAATACGGTTAATTAATACGGTTTCATATCCTGGTGTCAGAAAGGGGTGAATAAGAGAAAAAAGATAACTAAGTGAAAGTAAGAAAATCTGTTGCCCGCATCACACAAGCTATACTATTTCCTCTACTTTTAACAGAAATTATTGTTTGAAAAAATTAAGCTATGCCAAAAAGTTTTTGATCACCAATATTAGGGGGTACATTGATCTAAATTAAGCCGGTTTACACTGTTTTAGTTTATCAAATAAATCGTACTCAAATCTTTTCTTTGATCAACTTTCAGGAAAATAAATCTAATTCATTTTTTTTTTTGTTTCTTGATGTACATATGTAAGGATATACAAACTTAAACTAAAAAAGAATTTTTAAATTTAATGATAAAAAAAAAGTTTTAGCTATAGTCGCTTAAAAGTTTATAAATTATTTTTTGGGATATATGAGTTATTGATTTACTCTTTATCATTTACAGATGATATTGATGTGCTCTAAAACTAGTCTTATACTAAACCAGTTTCACTGCCCTTTGAATTACAAAGTAAAGGTAGCGATCTGGCCTGGAGGGCAGTGAGGTAATGCTGATGGTATGTGGCGGTTAGACCAAGTACCGTCTCCCGGGTTACCTGCATGTCGGGTTTGAGGTCAGAAGTAGTCTTGGCTCTTAACGCTAAAGTTAACAAGATATGGTCATGTATTACATTGATTCTAATATTGTTGGTAACTCCTCGCCATCATAATATCAAAAACAGGTCTGTTACTTGAAGAGTTAATATTTATAAAAATAAACGAATCACGAAATTATGAAAGATCTAAACGTGCCAAGTTAAAAATCATATGAATTTGAGCTGCAATATTGTTCAAGATATAAATAATGTAAATAAGATTAAGATTGCATTTATTTTAATTATACAAAAAAAAAAAAAAAAAAAAAAAAAAAAACTACCCTGTGTTCTTCAGACAGAAATGAAAACATGAAAAATACGAGATTCATGATATGAAATATACATTATTTTTTGTTATATATTCACAAAGTAATAAAATTTACAATATATACAATGACATTTATATGTTAACTATTTTTCGTTCCATGATCACTAAGTAATAACATTTATAATATATGCATTTTTTTTTTAAGCTTCACAAGCTTCCTCCATCTCTGCCTTGCTTAGGCTATTTCTTTGCAGCTATCTGCAAGCAGCTCTATTGCATCTTTGTTAATTCTATCTATCTGCTTTTTGGCCTTCCAGATGGATTGCTAAGAGCTACATGCCCCGCCCATCTTTCCTCCATGCCTTCATATCATAGGATATTGATTGACCAGTTTCTGTCAGCAGTTCTTTATTGATCTTTCTTTTCCATGTATTAGTACTCTGATCGCAGATAGCTCCGGTTATCGTGCGGAGGTTTTTCTCTCAAATCTTTCAATACTTTTTTCTAGAATGCTGGTCAGTGTCCAGGTCTCACAGCCATATATTATAATTGGCTTTATCATAGCATTGTACACCCTTAATTTGAGATTTCTTGAGATTTTTCGGGATTTTAATACCTTTGGAAGAGAGAAGGCTCTGTGTGCGCTAGTTATACGTTGGCCTATTTCTGACCGTTGGTAATTCGTTGAGGTTATTGTGGAGCCGAGGTATTTGAATTTTTTTACTCTCGAGAATGATTTTTCTTCAACGTAATTATAATTGTTAATAATTTATTCAAATTAACTTATTCAATAACAGTATTAAATTATCGACTGACTTAATATATCTCGGTATTCACTTCGACAGACATTTAAAATTTACTAAACATTTTGACAAAAAAATTAAAACAGTAAGATCTAAGACGTACAGATTCCAAAATTTAATTCGGACAACAAACTTATCTTTACGCCTAAAGCTTCTAGTCCATACAAGTATTATACGGCCGGCTCTGTTGTATGGTGCACCTCTGTTCGAACACATCAGCAAAACAACTCTGAAAAGATTACAATATTTCCAAAATGGAATAATTAGAAAAATTGTAAGACGAACCACGCTGCAGAGAAAGAAGACATTGGATATTCAAGCAACACTAAATTTATCAACTATAAACGAATTTATGGCAAAACGAAAAAAATCATTTTTCGATGAATCCCAACAATTGGCAAACCGTCTATTCAACAAATTATTACCAACCCAAATTCCAAAACGTTGGCAACAAATCTCATGAGATATATGTTTTATTAATTTAGTTGTAAGCTCTAGAGTATAAGGTCAACTCAAGCCTGAGGTGAGCCCCATCACCTGTTATATTACAGGTGAAGAACAAAGTACTCATAAACGACAAAAAATACACCTTACAATGCTTTTAAGCAGTAAAAGGACTACTATGAAAACAATGAAAAGACTCCAAGTGAAAAATAAATAAAAAGAGGATATGAAAAAAAAATAAAATAAAATAAACTTTGTTCTGAATGATGTTCATTTGCATCATAGTCTAAAAGTGAAACAATAAGTTTAGGATTACTAGAACAAGTGATGAATATTTTTAATTGAAATCTACTTCTGTAACGGGGATCAGTAATTTGTCGAAACTCAATCGAGAGCAATGAAAAACCGAACTGAAGTACATAATTTCTTATTTTATGACTAATTAAAAAATATATCTATATTGACTTCCTCCAATTGGTTTCTGTATTCTCCATGGTATTTACATTTTGATTTATTTTAATCAATATGTTCAACAAAACTCGTTGTTATCGTTTAGTTTAGTCCAAGATCCAATTTTATATATATCAGTTCATTACAGAGAGGATGAAATACTAAAAATTTTCCTCCTTCACTTCAATGTCCGAGTTTTAGTTTCTGAGATATTTTTATCTATATGTTCAACAAAACTCGTTATCATTTAGTTTTAGACACTATTTTTTTCCCTTTCCGGGGACTCTCTAACTCGGCTTCGCGTCGTTACAATTCTTAATAATAGCTCATTACAAAGAGGATGGAATGCTGAACATTTTATGCAGGTCCGATTTTTAGTTTCTAATATTTTAATCCAAACGCCAAACCAATTTAATTCGTCGACTCGAGCCGACTTTGCCCGAATGACAGGGTTAGAGAAATAACGGAAAGATCTCTGTTGGAAGGCGCTAAAAATTGTACAATAATCAACGGTATGGGCTAGGGGTGGGATAACGATAGCATCAATATATCAGACATGAAATATCGATACTACCGGGAGTCCTATTTTCATTTATATTACAAAGATCTTAAAAAAATCAGCAATTTATGAATATGAATATCAATATAAATATTGATACTCCAGCACACAGGCGTCTCCAAAATAATTGGCCTCGACAACGTAGCTCTGGGTGGACAGAACAGCCATATATATTAATTTGGTTTGAGAACGCTCTAACTAACAAATTTGTGTAAATCCATCTAAAGAGATTCATCTATAATTCATAGCGCTTTCCCAAAACGATAGTATTAATTATGATTTTTAAATTATAATATTGAAGGAACGATTTCGATATTAGATGATATCGAAGTAGATGCTGTTGATGGTAAAATGCCGAATGCCGGAAGGAAAATATCGATATTTCGATATGGACTAACGATGGCAATTTCCTTCTTACCTAGTATAGGTAGGAAAGTAATAAGTTAAAAAAATGCGTAAAAAAAAGAATAAGCTGTATCATCGCAATACTCGTTCGATTCCGATGAATTTTTGTTTGTTTTGTTGGTAATTTAATTTCCTTTCAAAAGTTTTATTATAAATTTTACCGTATAATACATACTTAGGGAGTTAGGTTCTAATATCTGGACTAACGATGGCAATTTCTTGTATGTGCAAGGAGTTAGCCGCGTCTCCACTGCAGTGAGCTTCATCCCCATAATTTTTCTTTTACGCTAATTATCTTTGCGAATATACATAAGACAAATTTGTGTTTTAATTTTTACAATCCTTGTCGACAAATAACAATTGAAAATTCGTGCAATTAGACAATTACAAACGGAATAAATATGCTATTAATTATTGCACGTTTCCTGGAAGTATATATCATCTCCTCCTCATAAATCAAAGATAATATTCAACCGAAGACTGGGAGCATCAACTAGATTTTTCCCCACAAAGGAAAACTTTTTCATTTAGAAGGAAAACAAGAAGCGGAGCTATATGAATTATGTGCCGCTGGCGTAGGCTGGGGCAGGGCCGGCAATAAAATATTAAATTATCTTTTTGGAGAGGAGTAGAATTGAGAGACCCTTGTGCCCTCTTCTTTGTCTGTTTTTGTAAGTCCCTTCTTCAATAATAAGTCTCCTTTCCGGGGAAAATTATGGTAAGGGATTAAATCACGAATTTTGTTCCCCCTCCTCCTTTTTTTTTAATGTATTAAAATGTGAGCTATATCTCAATAGGTCATTTGATTAAAGCTGACGTTGTTTGCTCGCCGAATGACAAACATTTGGATATTACCTCGAAATCGGAAATGATTAAGCGAGATTGAATAATATTTTCTGAAATGATATATAAACATATTTTTAGATCATTTGTCCATAAATATACTGTATTTAACTAAAGAAAGTATTTACTTTCTTTAAGTAAATATAATATAAGAAAGTAATTTCTTTCTTTCTATATATATATATATATATATATATATATATATATATACATATATATAAAGTGTTTATATATATATATATATATATATATATATATATATATATATATACATATATATAAAGTGTTTATATATATACAATGTGAACAAATCTCAGACCTATATAACCTTATATTTTCTTCCAATGCTTTGCAGTTCTTTTTTTTTATTTATTAGTAGAGAGCTAAATATTCCTACTATCTTTTTTCCTTTTATTGATTTTTACATTCGTTTATATTTTGTTTATAATGAAAAGGAGGTGCTTGTAATGCTACCTCATTATTTACTATCCTTTTCTTTATTATTTATATATTTGGCATACCAAGTTCTTGGACTCGTTGAATGAATCCAATCCTCAGTTCAAAACAGTATCTCTAGTACCTTCATCGGATAACAACTTTCATAATTATAAAATGTCCCTGTACTACTGAGAAAGTTAAATTGGTGAAATTCATGACTCTACTATTGTAAAAGTATTGTAAGAGTGATTTAAAATGTAACTCAGTTGCAGCAAAAGACAATAATTCCAGAAAGCCTGGTAGAATTACTATACATATATATATATATATATATATATATATATATATATATATATATATATATATATATATATATATATATATATATATATATATTTAATATAATTAATATAAATATATATACGCACACACACACACACACACATATATATATATATATATCCTACTATATATTAATATAAATAACCGTCCTACTATAAAACCATTAGATTCTGAAAATAAAATTTCTGTTCAAAGTACAGTAAAGAATTGTAAATCTTAATAAAACACTTTATTTTATAATATCCATAAAACAAAACCCAGATTCACTCCTATTATTTAACCAATGAATTCAATTAAAAGATCAAGAGGTGGCTTAGAAATTCTTCTATCATCAAGTACATTTGTGTTTATAAAAAAAATCTTGACAGGAATTGTGGCCATACCTTTGCAGGTATTTGTGCAATAACAACCTCCCTCCCTGACCGACGTGAAAGTCCAGTAGCCCACAATTCAATGACGAGTGAAGCCATTGTAGCGAAGCTGGAGTCAGAAGGTACAACCATTGTAAAATACATTTTGCAACGAATTGTTCCTTCTAGTTTTGCTCCCATTTATGTATAGCCTTTACTCCACTTGTCTCCCAAGTTTTTAATAATTTTTACGCTGATGTAACGAATCCATTAACGATTATAGACCACAGTTATGAATTAAATTATGGCATGAATGTTTTTTATAAATTGGAAGGTTTTTCCGTTAAACGAAATGTAATCATCACTTTGTTCAACATAATTCTGAAATTGCTTTCGAATTAGGCAGACGCCGGGTAATTCGATTTCTATCTCGTTTATAATTATGTTCCTCTAAAACGAAACCCTTCTCCCATTTGTCCTGGAGTTGAATTTCTAAGGACTTTAACTTGGAAGTCGATGAATCCTCTCAACTCTTGAGTAAAGTTCTGTGATTTACGCCCGGGGCACCTGACATTCATCCTCCCTAAACCCCGCGTACTTATTAGTCGATCTGGCTTTTCTCCTCACTCCTGGATTCAGATACTACGCTCTTATAAAAGTCCAGAATTTTTATTTATTAAGAAAAAAACAAATATTTTATATCATATAATTACCTAACAAAGCGTACGGACTTAACTCTAAAATTTTACTAAACTTAATAATTATTGAAACGAAAAATAATAATAAAAGCATCCCACATTTATCAGAAATGATTTTTTTTTTAAATTTAAAAACATTGAGACAAAACAGATTATTTATCATAGTAATAAATTTCTGGGGGCTGGAAAACATATCAGTGGATAAGAATCTATCATGGAATCCCCTGGTATGGAATGAGAAACATGGGAGGGGAGTTATTTGTAGATTTTGCCATGGCCAACAGGCTGCAAATAGCGAATAGCTGCTTTAAGAAAAAAAGTAAAAACAAGTGGACTTGGTGCTCTCCTCATGGGAAAATATATGAAATAGATCACATACAGAAATAGAAAACATAAAGAATATCAAGAATTGCGAAGTAATCACAGGATTAAAATATTATTCTGACCCCTGCCTAATCAGATCCACCTTACGCTAAGAATATTTAAAAAGAAGAATACCCCAGAAGCACCAGATACCAAAGAAAATAAATGAAGAAATTTTTCAAGTTGAAATAAAGAAATTGCATAACCTAAAAGATAATGATAGAAACTGCAATATTAAAATACAGCATACTACTATTAAAGAGAACATTGCACTCAGCAATAGCAAAACTGCGAGAACGAAAGAGTGGATACCATACAAAGCTATCCAGAAATACCTTGAGAATTTTAGAAAAAGAAAAAGAAACAATCACGAAAGGAAGACAGAATCCCCAGCTTACGCTCATAAACAAAGACCTCAGGGAAAATATAAAAAAGGATCTCAAAAAATATAAAGAAGGTAAAATAATCGAAATTCTCGAAATGAATAAATCCTTCGAAAAATTAAATTGTCAACTAAATCAAGGCAAACACTGGCCAGTGAGTTATAAAAATAATCAAGAGAAGGAAGTGAGCAATAGAGACAACATGATTGACTCGGCAACAGAATACTACAAAGAATTATATAATGCTGAAGAAGAAAAGGTATTTAAAAGAAAAAAACAACAACAAAAGGATGAGTGAAATACTGTTCCTACAATATTGCAATCAGAAGTGGACATTGTAATTAAATCACTAAAATGCTCAAAAAGTCCTGGACACGATAGAATTACAAATGAAATTCTGAAAACTGGAGCAGAAGAATTATCAGCAAAGCTGTGTTATTTTTTCTATAAAGTTATTGAAAAAGAAGAAATTCCCATAGACTGGAAAACATCAAAAATTGTTTTGCTTCACAAGAAAGGGGACAGAACTAAATTAACGAACTACAGACTAATATCATCGGGCGTCACAATAGGGAAAGTCTTTACAAAAACCATCCAAACTAGATTCACAAAAACAATAGACAAAAATTTACCTCTGGACCAAGCGGACTTTAGAAAGGGCATATTTACAATTGATCATTTACACGCTGTAAACCAACTCATATAACATAATTTAAACGTCTACCTTGGATTTGTTGAGTTCTCCAAAGCCTTTGATAGCATACATCATAGCAGGATCACGACAGCTCTCAAGTCGATAGGTATCGAGGAAAAATATATTTTTATAATAACAGAATTATATACCGATAACAAAGCATTTATATCTAGTGACAGGAAAGGCAAGGAGGTTCCAATCAGGAGGGGAGTCAGGCAAGGGAATACACTATCACCAGAGATCTTCAATACAGTATAGGAACTTATTCTAAAGGAGATTGGGATTGGGATCAATATGGAATCAATATCAACGGTGTAAAACTAAGCACACTTAAATACGCAGATGATGTGCTATTGATTTCAAGAAAAGAAGAAGAAATAGTGACCATGTTAAAACAGCTTATGTACAGAAGTGCCCAACACGGATTATCGTTGAACCTCATGGAGACAAAAATAATTACAAACACACATGTCACCAAAATAAAAACAGCCCTTCCAGAAATAAGCATTGTAGACGAAATCACATATCTAGGGCAAAGGATTTCATTTAAAGATAGGCAATTAACAGAGATTCAAACAAGGACAGCCATGGCTTGGCAGAAATATTGGAGCTTAAGAATGATAATGAAGAAAAACAATATCATCTAGCCTCTAAAAACTTAAAAGCTTTCAATAGTGGTATACTACCTGTGATGCCTTATGGATGCCATACATGGTCCCTCACCAAGCGCCATGAGAAAAAAATTCAAACATGCCAAAGAGCAATGGAGAGGAGCCTGCGAGGCATAAGAAGAAGCCAAATGCTCAGCAGTCTATCTATAAGGAAAGATACCGGGATCACATATGTAATCAGGCATGTCAAGAAGATGAAATGGCAATGGGTTGGACATCTAATGAGGAAGAACGACGAAAACTGAGCCAAGAAACTAACAGAGTGGATCCCCTTGGATATGTAAAGGAACCGATGCAGACAAAGAAGATGTGTAAACGCGATAAAGAAGGTAGAAGAGATGCTGTGGTCACGAAAAGCAAAGGACAGAAAATACTGGAAGATGAAGATAAGTGAACTCTCAGCGAACCAAAGTACTGATAGTACCCGTTAAAGACTTTAATATTCCTTAAAGGAAGGTCTATATATAAATGTATTTAAAGAAAAACTAAATGTAAATGTAAATACTGCTATTATAAATTGATATATGTATATAAATAAAGACTATTATTATTATTATTATTATCAACTTCTTAATCATGTAAATTTTATTAATAGATAATTAAAAAATGGGCGATGGGCTCGAAACATCGTTTCACGACATATAAATAAATTGATGACAATGCTATGGGTGATGATATATTTGAAAAAAACTGTATCATATCACTTGAAGAAAGTACTCTAGAAAAATAGGACTGGTGATAATAATGAAATATATAGTATTAAATAAAATTATTAATCGAGAAAATAAATTTCTTCAAACACTGACCGATATTACTTAGTGAGTACCTCAGAGAAATAATTTGTTTCTACTGGTTCCCCCACATTGAATTTGAAGTACCGTTGTTTAAGTAAGGAGATGAAATTATTGCCTAACTGCATCATGCATCGCAGAGCTCATGATTTACAACATGCATAACTGTTGCATGAACCTTGCATAAAACTATACTTAATAATAACTACGAGGAAGCAGGTTGGAGGTATATCAAGCGGCCTTATATGGAGCAGTCCTTGGCCAATGAGTCATAAGGACACTCACCTCTTCCTTAGCTGGCGTGCTCTTCGTGCAGTGGTTATCTGAAACATAACATTAATAGTTCATTAACTGATTCAATATGGTTAGTTATATCAATATAATTAGTTATATATATCATATTAGAAAAAAAATAAAGTATATAGTAGGTATTTTATAAAGAACATTCCTATTACGGAATATAATAATACATAATTATTTATAATACGTATTTAAACTATCCATTGATTTGGATAATAATAGGTTAGTCTTCCGTTAAAGGATTTTACTAATGTATCATGTATTTTTTTTTCTTTATTTCTTTAATTATCCGTCTTTAATACTTAATTGATAATTAAGCGACTATAGAAATATAATGCTTTTGCATATTTAATTATATATACACTATATTTATTTATGACTAAAATGATAAATAACTAATTTTTAAAAAAAGTAGATATTCTTTATCTCATTATCCTCATTAACTGAATGCTATAGGGATTTAATGCTTACGTTTATTCATTAATTTTAATCGAAATAATTTTCATCATCAATCCTTATCTCCCGCCCTTTTTTCTATATATATAAATGACCTCCCATCCTCTATCCTATGCTGTCAATACCACTTACATGCCGACGATGTCCAAGTTTACCTCTCCTTCAACTCGACCGATTTGTCCGATGCCATCCTAAAACTCCAAGAAGATATTAACAGAAGAAGTCGGTGGGCAAACCTCAACAGGCTCACTCTGAACGCCGAGAAGACGAATGCCATCTTGATCGAATCCCCTCCCTTCTCAAATCTTTCCCGGTACTCCCAATCTTCGCCTGAACAACTCGCCTATCTTATTTCATACTTCCGTTAAAGATCTGGATGTCACTTTTGATCAAACTCTCTCCTAAAAACCACACATCTAACAAATTTCCCGTCGTATTATCTCCATCCTGAAACAGTTGAATCGTCTGCGCTATATTCTTCTATGAAGTCCCGTCAACTCCTAGTTTCCTCTCTTGTATTCCCCCACTTTGACTATGACTGTATGGTGTACGGTAGACTATCAGAAGAGTTTGAAACGAAATATAAACGTCTAATGAATTGCTCAATACATTTTCTTTCAGAATCTCAAGAGATACGCACATTAAACTGGCTCTATCCATTCCATTGCCGTCAGTGCTTCCTCGCTACCTTTCGGTGCTAGGTCATTAGAACTCAGCTACCCTCCTATATGTTTCATAGCTTACAACTTGAATACTCCATTCAATCCCGTTCCACTAGATCTCATACTTCCGACCTCTATCCTTCTCCTTACCGAACTGCTGCGTTTGACAAATCCTTTGTAATTCAAGCCGCCTCCCTCTGGAATTCTATCACTCCTGATATTCTACACGCACAATCAGTTTCGTCTTTCAAACCTCTTCTCTTTAAACACCAACTCCTTTCCCAATCCGACTGGCTATGAAATATATCTGAGAGAACTATTTAAGTACCCCCAGACTATTTCTGTTTAGTTCTGTTATTTTGGTTTCCTATGTTTGTTTTATATATATGAACATTTCTTTATTTTTTGACGTTAATTTCTTTTTACTTTCTCTTTCTTTCTTCCTGTATTTCCACTTTTAATTAACTATTATTTTAAATATTTTATTTATTTATGACCACACAGACAAACATTCTGTACTTATAATTTGTTCTAAAGAAACAACAGTCTCAGAATAATAA